CTGCCACGTGAGCCGCCCAACACCATGGGTGGCCGCACTCACCTCCGCGCCTGCAGAGCCAGCGCTCCAGAGCGCTGGCGGCGCTGGACCACAAACCAGGGGACGGCGGGCGAAGGGGCGGGGCGCCGGGGCGGGGCGCCGGGGCAGGGCAGGGCGAGGACGGGGCGGGATGCCGGGCAGGACTGGGCGGGACCCGCACCAGACCGAATTGGGGAAAGGAAAGCGTGGCTGGGAGAACGAAACATCGCGATAACTTGTCCCTGTTCTCGCAGATTCACAATAGGTGGAACGAGAAGCGTGTTTCCCATGAGATGCGCCCATTGGCCAAGAGCGTGGCTTCCTCCAAACTGGCCCCGCCCTCTATTCTGGCTTCCGGCTCCGGCTCCGGCCGGGAGCTTGCTTGGGAGAGTGGGGTTTACTCATTACGAACAAGTAATTTAACCTTCAACTTCACGATCTGGCAGCAGTTAACCCTTAACTGCTAACCTGGCACTCATATTCTCATTCAATGTATAAGTTAAGGAATTGCAACAATAACACCTGATGTTGGGCTGTACTTAGACCTTAAATTACCTCTCACAGCAATCTGTGGACACGGGTACTATTACCCCTTTTGACAGAAGGAAAACCGAGTCCCGGTGGATTTAAGGCATTTGACTGCTAACTTGAAGGGTGGAGGTTCAAATCCACCAGCCACTCCTCGAAAGGAATGTTGGGCGATCCACTTCTGTAATAATACCCTCGGAAACCCAAGGAGGATTCCACTCCACAGCGGTGCGTTTGGTTTGGTTTAGTTTGGTGGGTTTATGTAATGTGGTCTAGGTTAGCAAATTAAGCATTGTGGCAGTTCCTAGCATGGATGGATAGTTCGTAAAATATTTCTTCAATATGAAAATTCCTGTGTCTGGAAAGAGACAGCAAAGGAAGCCGCCTTTATGCTGGTTAAAAACCGCCACTACCCTCACCCCCTAGTATTGTTCGGGAATATAAAAACACCCACATTTGTAAAGTGCCACCTTTGTTAATATAACAACTTTCTGCTGAAATGATTATTTTTTTTTAAGTTCCTCTCGTATTTATTGTCCTTTAAAAAAATGTCTGTTAATTTTCTAAAGTCTCATTATAAAGCAACTTTACAATGAATTACTTTCAGCCCGGTTTATTTAATTACTCTTAGAGATGAATTACCTAGAGAGCAGAGGTTAAAAACAAAACAAAAAAACAGTATTAGTTATAAGATACGGATCGATTACCTATTAAATTTGGTCTTCAGGAGTAACTGAAGTATGCAGCATGGTATATATCATGGAGTTCTACCAAAAAACAAACTCACTTCCGTGCAGTCGGATCCGACTCATAGCGACCCCTCGGGTTTCCGAGGCGGTATCACTACAGAAGTAGATTACCCAATCTTCCTTCGGTGGAGTGGCTGGGGGGTTTGAACCGCCAGTCTTCTAGTTAGCAGTCAATTTTTTTTGTGGGGGGGGGGGAGCTAGGATTAAAATGAAGGAACCTGAAGTTCGTGTAAAAGCAGAAATACTTAAGGTTTGAATGATCAGCCAAAAGATTAAAACTTGCTGCTAATATGCAAGTCACCCCCCCCAAAAAAAAAGAATTAATAGGACAATTTTCAAAAATAAAATAATAAATGTTAGCATCGTTTCATTTCTTAACAACAACAAATCTAATGCAACAATTTAACATTTGATATTTAGTCTTGAAAAATAAAGCGTCTTAAAATAACTTTTAATCACCCCCACCACCCTATATAGGAGGTCTGGTGGCGTAGTGCCTAAGGCATTTTGACTGCTAACCAGAAGACTGGAGGTTCAAACCCACCAGCCACTCCTGGGAAGGAAGATTGGGCAAACTACTTGTGTAGTGTTACCGCCTCGGAAACCCAGGGATGGGTATCTATGAGTCCGATCCGACTCCACTGGCACTGAATGAGCCCCCCCCCCCCCAACACCTGATGGACACAAAATTAACCAAGTGACTACGGTAACATAGAATCCTATGACCACTCTTAGATCCTCAATATGCATAGTATTAATTTGCACATTTTGCCTTACTTAAAACAAGGGAGAGGAAACTTTCTAACTTAAATCAGAGACTTTGCAAACTTTGACCAAGTTTCACATCAACAGGCAACGATATCACTTTAAGAAAAGTCCGTGGAAAAGACTACCTCAATTTAAAATTCCCACCTCTGGCTCCTAAGGATTGGGTTGCAAACAGCAACAAAATACTCTTCTCCACTCCCTATTGGTGCATGCTCTATCATTCATTCCTCCGCCTTAAGTTTTGTTAAGTATCAGATTGCTTTACGGGAAAAGGCTGCTCTAATGTAGTTTGGAAATGCCCTATTTTAGATATTTTCCGTGTTATTAATCCGTACCAATAATGACAAAACTGATAAAGTGGGAAACAAACTGGCAAATTAGGCTGCGAGACAACTGTGAAATTTGTTCTAAAAAGAAACCGAGAACTACTCAAGAACACCTGGGAAATAGACAAAGACTTTTACGACAAAGTTGGAGATTTTGTCGCGTTAAAGAAACTTTTCAAGTTTTTCGCTAGTTTTAAAGGAGTAAGTGTCAAAGGAAAACCATAGAAAATATAGGCACAATGTAAGGGTGGCAGGCGGAAGAATTTTCAAAAGGTTTTTCTCTTAGGTTGCGGTTGGAAGAACATCATCCTCAGGTTATCAGTGGATTCCTGAAAGGTAAAGGGTAATAAGACTAATTATAGACTATTTCTACTTTAAGAAGCTGTGATTTGTTATTATTGTTTTGCTATAATATTGATTTAGAGGAACATTTAATAATAAGATTGTAATTTTTAAATGAAATGGATATTTTGTTTGCATATGATCGTACCTAGCATAATAGACAACCCATATATCCAAACTATTAAAATATAAAAGGGAAAATTAGAATCAGCTTTGCACCTAAATTTTGTATGTTTGTGCATTAGGAAATCAATGAAAAGATCTAAAGACTAAGCAAAACACCATCGTGTCAGGTAAAGCAGAGTCACTAGGTTATTTATTTATTTATTTATTTATTTTAGAATTTATCCTTAAAAAGTTAAGGATAAAAAATCTAACGTTAATATTTTCAAAAATTACATTTTCATTGAAACTACCTACAACATAAAAATTCAGGACGATACTGATAAACATGAATAACTTAGTATTTGCAGTTATATTAAAATTTGTATTTGAAATCGCAACAGTCAGTGATAATCACTTTACTATCCAGCCCAATATCTGGTCCCTACATATGGATTAATAGAGGGCACTCAAGAAATATTTATTGTGAGCATATAATCTGTTTAGGCTCTGCAGAGGCATAGATATGCCACTAGGAGTTGTATGTATTAGCTGAATTAATGTTTCGGGAATTTTATGAAACTATATTTTGGGACTATATATTTTTTTTGGCACTATGAATAAACCAGAAAAAAAGAAAAATGTTGGGTTTCCGAGGTTGTAAATCTTTACTGAAGTAGATCGCCCAATCTTCGTTCTGGGGAGTAGCTGTTGGATTAGAACCACTGACTTTCCAGTTAGCAGTCAATCACCTTTTTCACTACACCACCAGAGCACCTGCACTATGAATAACAAACTTCATTAGGTGTGGACGTGGTCAGAGTGCAGTTGGAACAGGAAAGTGATCATTGCGCACATTTTCTTTCTCCTTTTCCCTCAGACTTTAAGTCCATTTTCTTGATTTTATTAAACTGAGTTGAAGGAATTTAAACAAACAAACAAACAAAAACCCATGATTGAAGAACACCATTGGAGTCTGTAGATTTTTCACCTGAAATGTTCCATCACAAAATTCCATACAAACCTGGTAAGTTGCTACAATGTGCAAGGCACCATATTCAATGTTGGGAAAGCAAAGGTGAATCAAGTGCCATCTCCCAAAAAAAGAGCACAGGGATAACAAAGGAGGTGTTTGTTTCCTGTTATCTTCTTCTCTGCAACTAACTTATTTCAAAAGAAAACTTCTGCTTATGTATGTTGTTGGGGTTAGATGCCATCAAGTTGCTTCCACCTCATAAGCAACCCTATGTACAACAGAACAAAACACTGCCTGATCCTGCACCATCCTCACAATCATTGCTGTGTTTGACCTGATTGCTGCCGCCTCTTTGTCAATCCATATCATTGACGGTCTTCTTCTTTTTTTTTTTTTTGGCTGACCCTCTGGTAGCATAGTGCCTAAGGCACTTGGCTGCTAACCAGAAGGCTGGTGGTTCAAACCCACCAGCCACTCCTCAGAAGGAAGGTTGGGCAATCTA